TTTTTTTTTCCAAGATATATGACTGACTAGCTGTAAAACTCATTGTCACTAGATTATTTGGGGACCAAGAACTTAGGATAGGAAAAATGATTGAATAATATCCTAATGGAGAAAGTAAGGTACTGTTTAGTTCTTTAACATAATATTGGAATTTAAAATCAAACTATTTGGAGTATTTTTTTCTTGTATACAAGGTTTGGGGGGATTTCCTCCCCCACCACCCTGATACACACAGGAAAACACTGATTCATTTAAACCAAAAGTAGATGATAAAGTCATTTCTATCAGAATTGTCACTTAATGCCGTGAAATGTTCTTACCACCCTATTTCAAAGGCACAAAGAATTGGCAGCAATCTCCCAATTTACCAAGTCCAGACCTCATTCAAACCTTTCTATAACTGATTGAGATCTATTTTGAAATCAGCCAAGCTTCAACATTTTGTGAAAGAAAAAGCTCCTTTGCTGGTTTGAAAGGTCTTTCTTTTTAAAACTGGAATCACAGAATCACAGCGAAACATAGGCAGGAGCAGCCCCTGGGAGGTCACCTATTCTACCTGCTTGCTCAGAAGGCACAGGTTCAATTAATGTGAATGATTCCAACACTGCTGAAATGAAATGTTTTGACTGAGCTGACAGTGATGGTTTTCTTTTATCGATTTTGAATTTGCAACACTTTTTGAGAGTTGACTTTTTTTGGCAGGGAAAATGCTCAAATTCCCAGAGATGGATTTTATTTCTGAGAATGTGATGTTTTTAGACTTGGCTGACCAGGATACCTTGGGATGTTCAGTTTACAACGCAATCCCAGCTCATGAAAAATCTTGAGGGGCCACTTCACAGCGTGCAGGTAGGATGGTCCCTCCCAGCGACACCAACAGCACAGGATGGGACAGGCAGCAATAATGCTGCGGGGGTTTGGGTACCAACAGAGCCTGGAATTTGAAGCTCTTGGATATCTGCTTTATACTAGAAAAATTCCATCTTTACTACACGGTTATGAAGGACACTGCATATTTTTGTTGATTAACTTGTGTCTCCCCTAATGCACCCCAGAGAGATAATAGAGAATTATAAGAGCCACGCATTTGTCCCAGCCCAGTAAAAGCTGGCAGATCATAGATCCCATACCCCATAGGCCCCAAATCCACAGCATTCATTTTGCCAGTGGTTTGGAAGTGCTAGAGTCTCTCAACTTACCTGCTAGCATGCAAACAAGGAAAAAAGCCAAGAAAGCGGCCTGGATGAGAAAATACAAAGCTGAATGAACATTTTCTAGCCAACTACCTGGGAGGTGATGGGCAAAGCAGCCTAACAGTGAGTTTGATTTCTGTGATTAGGGCAGATTTCCGAGATACCTGTTCAACACTCTGGCTTGGTCTCTCAAACAAAAGGATGGTATTTCCTTCCCATCTTTCGATCCTGTGATTGCCAAGTGAGCAATCTTTGGGTCAGAGACTTTCTGTGCGTGCATGTCCACTGCTGGGTGACATCTGAATGCTGCATGTCACTGTTTCTGCTTGCATGGCCCTGGTAGCAGTGGTGATGCCTCAGGATCTCTGAGGCACACCATGAAACAGCCAGGAAAATGCCCCCCTCTAAGGAGCTGTCCCCAAATGATCTTGATGCTTGGACTACACACAGCCATCCTTCTTTTCGCGGACGTAATGGGGAGGAAAATGATACTTATGAGAAATGCACAAGGACTGAAATGCAAAAGTGAAAATGTTTTATTGAAAAGCAAAATAAAATAATACTGACACTTCACAGACCAAATAACACAAAGGCAAAAACATATAGAAAAGAAAAGGGAAAACTCTGGAACAGCTGTACAACATCAAACAGCACGGGGGAAAGATATTTTTTCCAATTTGTGCCACGCTGTTTCTCCATGAAATAACAATGAGGAACTTTGTATGAGCTGCATATTGATAAATGTTAGGTTAAAGCACAGAAACTCAAATGAATCAACTGAACTAGACGGATGCTGTGACAGAATCCCATAATGGAAACCACACGCGGCAGAGGATGAAATGGCAGGCGTGTTTGAGGTGCTTTGCAGATCTGCATTACAGCTGGGACTGGGATTTACCCCTGGCCTGACAGCTGCCAGTAAAGCCGGTGGTAAAGCTCCCGGGGGAGCGGAGCCTGCTCCAGCGTTATTCCTCCCATGCTGCTCCCTCCGGACCTCTCAGGCCCCGTTCAGAGCATCGCACCTTTTGCCTTGTGAGTGCTCTGCTGATGTCTCTCAGTAATCCTGTTCTGGGGTTGCAATGGCACCAAGGGCCACTGCAATGTATGCTGGAGAGAGTCCTAGTCCATTGTTTATTTGGAAAGCTCTTTGAATAAACTCAGTAAAATAAATGAGGTGGATTTAACTTCTGAAAATAATCAGACTAACTAAAACATCAGCAGAAGTTCTCTTGGTACCTCAGCCAAAAGCGAGACGTGATGTGATAAGGTCTGTGATGTTAATTGAATTTATGCGTATTTTAAAGTCAATTTTTTAAAAAGTAAATTGGAATCTAACAGAGTTGTGCTTTAGCCTCGGGGCCTTCCCTCTGCCTGCAGATCTGGCAGCCGATTACAGGGATGCTGAAAACACAAACAAAAAGGTGAAGCTGGGCAAAATGATGTCGTTGCAATGGCTTCATAAAAGCTAAGTATGGGTTTGGGTGCTTATACAAATGAAGCTTTCTGGAGTGTGGGAAGCAGCTCTGCCCTTCCACAGACAGCCACAGTAGAAAAGCCCGTAACAGCAAAGCTTTTAAGCACCTCTGAGCAGACGAGGAGCTCCACCGCCTTCGGTGAAGCTGACTGCAATTTCACCTGCTTAAAGCAAAGCTTACTTGGGGGGGAGGATGAAGAGGAAGGTGGGAAAGAAGCTCTAGTTGTTCCAGGTTTGTACAGTACCTGCCCAATGGCATGGGTGGCTATGGCTCCCCGCTGCCTTGGAATAACATTATTAACCGTAAGAAGCTAAGAGCAGGGCTTTGCCGACGCCAGGGTTCAGCCCCACACCTTCAAGGCCGGGCTGTTCAGTGGGACGCCCTCGAACCTCCCTGCTCAGCTGGGTGAACAGCGCATAGCCTCCAATTTGTAGTGCTTTTTTAATACCATTATGAATGGCTATGCTTCACCGGCTGGACGCAAACAGAGCGAAAGCGTGAGTCAGAGGTGACTCAGGAGCAACCATTATCGACAAAAAATAAGCATGCACTTAGTGTGCATAATACTGAATTCCACAATTAAGTGGGTAGGCCTTTGCACTGGGAGCTACAGGAGTATGGAGACACTCCCAGAGCTTGTGGTTTTATGTGAAAACACTGTGAACAACGGTAGCAGTCAATGCAAGGATCCCGCCATGCTTTGGTCTGTCCTGCAAGGGAAGGGAAACTTCCCTCCTTGGTCTGAAAAGCCTGTCTGCCAGGGGTTAACTCACCAGCTCCTCTCCAATGCCTGCTGTCTCCCATTGAAGCAAGGACTGGTACTCAGCAGTTTTTTTATACTTCCACTTTGTGCAAAGGTTGCAGAAGCTGAGATACATCCTCTGTTCTGCAACCCTGGGCTAGAAACAAGCTGGATGGAGACTTGCTTTGTAAAGCCAAGGCTAGGTTTAAACCTGAGCCCTGAATTATGAATGGTGATGTTGTTCATACCCAGGCAGAGAACACTGAGTCTTCACAGAATCGTAGAATAGTTTGGGTTGGAAAGGACCTTTAAAAGTCATCTATTTCAACCCTACTGCAATGAGCAGGGACATCTTCAATTAGATCAGGTTGCTCAGAGCCATGTCCAACCCGGCCTTGAATACTTCCAGGGAGGGGGCATCTACAACCTCTCTGGGCAACCTGTTCCAGTGCCTCACCACCCTCATAATAAATTTCTTCCTTAAATGTAGTTTGAATGTACCCTCTTTTAGTTTAAAACCATTCCCCCTTGTCCTATTGCAACAGGCCCTATTAAAAAAATCTGTCCCCATCTTTCTTATAAGCCATTAAGTATTGAGCGGCCAAAATTAGATCTCCCCAGAGCCTTCCATTCTCCAGGCTGAACAACCCCAATTCTCTCAGCCTGTCCTCATAGTCTTAACCAGCTGGAGAGAACTAGTAGTTTTTAATAAGTTCAAATAAGTTTGTAGGGTCTCCTGGGGACTTGGACATATATACAGCGTTATCCCAGAGGCCTCAACAGCACCTTGCATGCTGGCTTTCCTGCAGCCAGCAGCACAGAGACAGTAGCCAGGTTCAGTAGTAAATTGGGGTTCTTTGCAGTGCTTGCGAAGTCCCTGAGTTTACAAAGAAGCATCTCTCTGACATGCTCCATGGCCTGTACTAATGAGAGATTTCCCCTGGATTATGAGCATTACAGCTCTGAAGGATCTGGGGTACTCCGGAGACTGATCACTTATTAGTAGATATGCTGCAATACAAATATCACCTAGCAGAGTTGGGTGGTTGGTGGGGGTTTTTTTTAAATACTTTTGTAACAGCCATTTCACATTGCCAAAATATCTGAATGCACCTGCTCCTACAGAAATGTGGTGAGCAAAGATGAGGAGCCTCAAGAGTCTCCGCTCCCCCCACCGAAGCAGAAATCTGTGACGCCACAGTGACTGTATAGCTGGGACATGTATGAAAGGCTCTATACTGGAGCCACTTTTCAAACTTCCCCAGCCTCTGCAAGAGAGACCAATGACCAGGAAGGAGTGAAGCTGCTGAGGAGGAGAAAGGACCTCCATCCTGGATGCTAACAAAGGTCCCATAGGAACTGGATCTAGGAGTACTGGCCTATACAAATACCGTGCTATCACAAGGTGTTGGCTGCATCCTGCCTGGACAGCCCAAATTTAGACCTTGAGCTTAGGGCTTGTGTGGTTGATGACAAGGATGTGCATTTGCAGAGAGGAAGTGTATGCATCTTTGGTCTCTGTACTGCCAGGGCAGTAGAAAAGCTGCAGGGAGGCATGACTGTCCTCTGAAATGCTTGGGGGACAGTCCTTCATGGCAAAAATCCCGAGTTCATTCCCGCTCCCTGACCTAACTTGTGGATTTTAGGGGTTTGTTTTGTTCTGTTTTCTGATGGTGTCAAACATTTTTCAGGCATACATATGAGCCCATCAAGGCTCAAACTCCTGCTAATTTTTTTCACTGGCATTTCCACCTGCAGCTGCTTCCAGAACCTGCCCTTTGGGAACTTGGATTTCTCGCCTTTCCATTTAATGACAGTCAAGGCCGCCTTGGCCTGCTTCAGCTCCTTCACTTTGCTCTTCTTGATGGCTTTGTACTGCACTAGAATGACTTTGATGTTGCCCTTGGAGGCCATATTCTCTAGACCAGCCTTGAGCTCCAGCAGGGCCTGTGTCCCCTGCAAGACGTAGTTGGGGCTCAGGACAACAAGCAGACGTCGGCTTTTCTGGATGAAGCTCAGGGTTTCGTCTGTGACAACTGGGAGAAAGAAACATTGAGGTGGTTAGTGATGGCCGAGAACGTGCTGCTGAGCTGTTAGCGTGACACCAGGTGTCTCTTGAAGGGAATGACAAAATCCCTTGGAGGCCCTTCTCTAGAGACTAAACTGGTGCTTCCCAACCCTACAAGCGATTCCAGGTAGGCCATCCTACACCATGGCCGGTATCCACTGCCCAATACAGCAATGTCTTCTACTCCCAGCCCCAGACTGCTACAGATGTGTTTCCTCCTCTCCATGCTATGTTGAGATGCCCAAGATGTAGCTACATCTAAAAGTCACTGTACTAGGTGGCAGTGACACCACCCAATGCTATGAGGATGCCGTATGGCCAAGAGGGCTGCTCTGTTAGCCTCAGATTTAGCTTCCTTCCAGTGAGAGTGGGAAAAAAGACTCTCTGGAGCAAAGCAGGAAAATTGCCAGCTGGACAACACATGACTTCAAGGAAAAGACTCAGCCTAAAGAGGCATGGGGAAGCCCGAATGTCTACGCTTACATCCTCCTCTGGCTGATGTCCAGAATGACTCTGGGTAATCCCTTCACTCCTCTTGCCTCAGTTTCCCCACACCAAACACACACAATAAGTACCTACACCCTCCCTGAGCGTCCTCATGGGTTAATTTGCTTTGGAAACACTACCATCCTAACTCCTGTTACTCATCCAGCTGTTCCTGTTGCTGTCATCGATGAAAGCAGATTTAAGTGTTTCTAGAAGTGACAAGTAAACTGCTCTGAGGATTTGTAATGAAGTGTCCCAAAAGTGACACCCTTTGAGCTGGAGACATGTCACGGTAACTGTAGATCCTCTTTGATTTTCTAACATCTGCAGGTAGACTGTCCTTATGCACCTTTCTGTAATTAATGTGAAATTTAACATGAATCATGGTGCCTGCACTCTCTGCTGCAGGATCTCCCACACTTCATTGACAAGGGAACGCTCTTGACTGGTCAGAAAATACAACGGAGAATAAAATAACACTGACAGGCAACTTAATTTAGCTGTCAAGCACATTTGATTAGTTCCTGTCAGCAAACTCACACGATAATCCATCTCCCACTGTTTCTTCACCAAGGACAACATAACTCTCTACCCGTAACACAGATGCACACTCTGGAGGCATGACACCAGCTGCCAAAAGCTATTTCCTGGCCTGCCATGCTTCCCTGAGAAGATTAGTGAAATCCCAGCTAAGAAGCAAGGGGGAAGCCCCAGCAGTGCTGCAAACGGCAGTGCCATGATGAGCCACCCCAGCAGTGCTCCGGAGGGCTGCGCTGGATCGGGGCTGGTGGTGACTGCCATGGTGAGCAGGGATGGGAGCGCTCCAGGGGCGAGGGTGAAGGGCAGGGAGACCACGAGAGCTGCGCTGGGACGAAAATTAGACCATCCAAAGGGAAAGGGGAAGGATGGCAAGAAGTGGCCGAGGGAACAGGAGATGTACGTCTTGAGGAACAACTGGTGAGAACAACCAGTTGCTCTGAGCCTGGTACTGGCATCAAGCAGAGCCTGGAGGGTGCCCTGCCGTGTCACCCAGGCTCTCTCCAGAAGGAACAGCACCAGGATTGCAGCTGTCTCCCTGTCCCCCAAGGCACATGTATTTATTTGCCCTCAAACTTAGAGGTGCTGTGCCTTGGCAACAACCTAGGAGATAAAGGTAAAAGATCCCAGACTGATTCTGCTCCTGTCATGCAGCTGGTGACAGAGGGAGCACAGATTCTGTCATCAGCAGGGTCCTGACCCAAAGCCCATGAATTCAAAGCAGGGCGATCTGCACTGACAAAGTTCAGGCTTTGACCTTTTAGTAGGCGTCAGGGATCATACAGCCAACCCAGCCCCCAGGACACTGGAAACTGAGAGCGTTGGGTAGATTTGTGCCCTTGCTGTGGTAGCTGTGTGGCTGTATGCATAGCTGGAGAGTCTCACAAACTTCTGTTCTTGGTGATTCCCTGCGTCTCTCCAGCAGATGCTGTGTCCAGAACCCTGTATGATTTAGCTTGAAACAGTGAAAAAAATCTACATCTTAGTGAAGAGATGAGTCTCACTACCTGCAACAAAGTACTCTTAAGCATAGCAACTTAATTGTATGCCGTGTTAGACACAGACTCTCTAATTAATGAGGGGGAGTAGGAGGCCTTCTGGGAGGGCAGGTTATCTTCTCACTGATGTTAGCGTAGTGCTCTCCACACCTCCCTGAAGCAGACACTCCTGCTTTTTACAGGCACTCACCATTACCGTCTGTGAGCTACTAGTCTGGTCCGGTATCACACTCCCCCTACCTCTTTTCTTTCTAGCCTTGACTTTATCCCTTTTTTTTTTTTTTTTTTAAGGCAGCTCAGAGGGTTTGCATGAAGGTCAGTGGTCCAGTTCCCTCATGTTGATAGATCAATCACTCCTGCGGAGAGCAACTGAAACAACCAACAGCCACCACTTGCCCACCACAGCCTTTTTGGTGGCCTGGGGCATCTGCAACATTGTCAGGTGAAGCAAAAACATTCGAAGATACCAACAAGAGATCGTTAATGGAGATGGAAAAAAACCCACAAAGGATAAAGTTAATCTGGATAGGTCAGTTCCTATCGATTATCAGTACCTCAAAGAACAATAAAGAGAGGATGCGCGTGGAGCACAGCTCCCTGTGAAATACTCACTTCCCCCAGGGAGGCTGTCTCTGTCGAAGATACACAGCTTGTACCCAAACTCATTCTCCAAGACTCCCCGTAGTGTCAGCAGCACAAATTCCTCCTCCTCCGCGTTGCGTGCATAGGACACGTACACATCATATTCCTTCCCATCTGAGTGTTGGGAGCGCAGAAAACACAAAGGGCAGAAGAGACACTTGTGATACTGCACATGCTGAGCCTTTGACTTACGTCACGGGAAAAGCAGATATGAAGGCTTGCTTTGAGCCCAGGCGCTGCAGGTTAAGACACATCGATTTCCATAATTACAAGACAGCAGCGCTGCCTCTTTAACTACCCAGCCTGAACGTGCAGGTACTCAGACACTGCTGGGTCACTGAAGGCATGAAACCACAGCAAGATGACCAACCCGTTCTGTCCAGGGTCCTTTTGTCTTTTAACATCTCTGACATTGCTTCCTCTCATTGCTGTCTATCCACATGAGCAGTCCCACCAGACAGAGACTTGCACCCTGCCTACACCCTCCGAGAGCTGCCGCACCCCCTTGGCAGGTTCACACAGCAAGCTGCGAGGGCTCAAACACCCACCTCATCCTACAGAGGAAGAAATCTCAGCTCAGAGTCCCAAGAGATGAACTCCCAGTAACACAGGGAAGCTGTGGAAGAACTGAGGACAGAAGGGTGATTTCCAGATCTCCTTTTGGATGCCTTCCCACATTTTGAAGCAAATCACCCTGGATTTATGAATCCTCACATAGAGTCACCAGAGAAACTAGGGACTTATTGAAACTTGATGACTTATTTTGACCATCTAGATTGGATGAAACAGCTAGCCATCAGCAGGGCAATGCCCCAGGGAGCCTGACACACCCATGCTTCCCCTCTACAGAGAATAGAGAGGACTTCTCTCTCCTTTCCCCTGACCCAAGCCTGACTCCTCTTGCTCTAAAATGACCCACGCAACTGAATGCAAGTATATAAATGGAAAGTCAAAAGTCGTTATGCTGTGAAAAGGGTTAAAAATAGCTTATATGAAAATTGCTATATGAAAATGAAGGATCTAGCCTGTAGCAGGATAACGTAAATGTAAGCCCTGTAACTCCTTACCTAGAATGGTTTCATCTGTTCCAAAATGAGCCCGATAGAAGAGAACCATTTCAAGCCAGTAAACGTGATAGATGACTATCAGCACCACAACCAGCAGGATGGTTGCCCCCAGTCCACAGGCCAGCTCCACGGTGTACTTTGGTGGTACAACTGGGTTTGAAAAAGAGAAAAAGAGGGGGTCTGGTTTACAGAACAGTTTGGATCTTCAGCTAAGCAGGAACAAGCTTGTCTCACATGCAGTCAAACACCCCAGAGGAACAGCCAAGGGCCAAGATGGCCCTTCAGAGGAAGGCAGCCAAGCCAAGGCTTTTCTGGCAGGACACGTGATGGCTGGCCACCCTGAAGTCCCCATTCTGGGTTACCAGGTCTGGTTGGGCTGGCAGAGCAAGTCAAAGCACAGACTGGACTTCTGTCTGCGAGTGAAACCCTGGGAGCAGCCAGATGTTAGAATGACCTGTTCGTTAGAATGACCTGCACGGTCGAAAGCCAGCTCATGAATGTGACCTTCTCAGCAGTATATGCAAACTCTTGGGGCAACACAACAGCACTTCTAGGAGAGCCAGCCAAAGCTCACCTGCAGCAAAATAAAGGCAATGGCCACCATTTTCCCTCCCCAAACACAGACAGTTCTTGTGGCTTGTCCCAGACTGACAGTAAGGACATAACTAGCCATGGCCTGATTGTTTTCTACCAGGAAAGAAGAATCAGAGTTCATTACAGAAAAGCTGAAATGCTTGCAAACAAATAGGACAACCTGTGGATATCAAGCCAGAACATCACAGGTCCCCTTCCAACTCATACAGTGTCTGTCACACCACTGCTGCTTCTTTGTATTAAGGACAGAAAATAACTCTTCTAACTGTATCCCTGGGCTACTCTTTTTATGGCAATTCAGGTGGCAGCTGACAGGCACTCCGGCAAACTGCATGATAAAAGAACAGCAGTGAGTGGAAACACCACCAAATTCCAAGATTTAATAAGTTTTATTAGAAAGTGAATTACAAGAAAGAAAATGGAAGGAATTTAACAACTTTCATTAGGTGATGAGCAGCAGAAGCACGAGAAGGAGAGGGAAATCACCCAGGAAAAGCAGGAAACGTATATAACTTAATGCAATAAAAGAGTTGGAGCCATCATATATAGCTACTTGCTAAAAACTGGCAGTGCTGAGGGGTTATGTTCTGACATACTTGATGTTCCTGTGTGCAGTGGGATGGTGTGCAGCGAGCTTAGCTTAAGGTTGCTCTGCCAGCAGCGTTTGGGGATGGTTCTTGGTATTTGCTGTGGAACAGAGCAGAAGGGGTGGTGAGTAAACAGGTCTGCTCAGAGCAAACCCACTCAACTGCCCAGGAGCAGATGGGGGAGGAAGAGAGAGGATAGTACAGATCAGTCCACTAGAAAACAGCATTTAGGCACTGCCATATAGAAGAAGAATCTGCAGATTTTAGATTCATTCATGCTACATGTAGAAACATTATCATCCTAGAATAATTATGTGTGTAGGATGAACACACTAGCAGATGGTTTCAGCCTCAGTTGTGTGTTTGGTCTATTGTTCCTTCCTAATGGTCCAGAAAAGGTTTGTCTCAAAGGAACGGGACTAAAAAGGAAGGAGGACAACTACTAAAAAGGAAGAAAAGAGCTCTTCCAGTAAAGACCTCTGTGAGCCTTCCCATGCTAATAGGGCAGAATGAGGGGAAGAAGGTGTCTGGCATGAGCTACACAAGGCAGGGCAGCATCCCTTATGGGAGAGGGAAGGTCCGACCTACAGCAAGCAGGTGTTGAAACTCTAGATGAGTTTCTAAACTCAATTATGAGGCTGAAATATCCACCTTAATCAGGAAACCTCACATGCCTATAGTGAACGTTCAATTCTTATTACTGAGAGGTGGGTCTAGGAAACATGAACAAAATCTTTGGTGAAAGAAAGATGTAGGAAAAAACCCACACCGAACAGGGCTGTATCAGTCCACACCATCCATGCTGAGATGGCTGTATCTAAACTGGAGCATCATCACCACAAAGAGTAAAACCACAGAACACTGCGGTTAGACTGTCTCACTCCCTGAGCAATGTCAACAAGTGCAGTCTGCCTTCTGGAAGATGCCAACTGGTAGCTGTTGCATCACACAAAACCCTGAAGCAACCAAGTAACCTGAAATCATTTCAAGCAGCCTGTCCCCTCAGGTCTGCTTCAATTGTGGTACATGGATGGGATGAGAACAACTGGTCTACGTGTCCCTCTATCTCCCCAGGCACTTGACTGTGGTAGGGTAAATATGACACGCGTCCTTTGCTCCCTGCCTCAAAGAAGTGGCGGTATGACAGCAATAATACAGCAGTGCGTACAGAACAGCATACGTTGGAGAAAAAAGGCTTTATAGAATTATTTGTTCCCCTGCTGTTTTGCAGGGCAAGGCTCAAGGCCGGACCGACAGCCCTCTCTGAGCATGCCTCGTTTCACACCCATGCTCTGCAAGTATTTTACCTTTCACGCGCACTACGGCCTGGCTATGGTCCTCGCCTTTGGCGTTTCTGGCATAGCAAGTATAATTCCGTTTCAAGTCCTCTGGTGTGGCTTTTGCAACTGTTAGAGTCCGTATGATAGTTTTGTCTTCAAAATCTCTAGTTATTTCACTGTAAGAGAAAAACTAGAGCATTACATATGTGAAACTGCAGCAAGTTCTTAGTGACAACTGCTCCTTTCCCTGATATAACCTGACTCTTTCTTTAAAAAAAACAAAACACCTAAACTGATATTTATAAATTGATACACACTTCAGATTTTAATAGAGCTGCAGCTGTTCATCTGATTTTCCTTAATATTTATTTTGCCACACATAATTTTCTCATTTCAGCTGTGTCACATTACATTTTATAGATAAAGGAAGTTCTTGCCTACAAAGCAACAAGATGTCATGAACTCAGGATTCAGAGCCGACGTCACATTCCCTGTGCAATCCTGGATGAGTCACTTTGTCTCTCTGCCTGAACTGATCATTTGCAAAATATTTCCTTTTGCCTTTTCTTTTCCTACGTAGGTTTGCAAACTGATTGGGGCAGTCACTGCCTTCCACACGTAATTCAGCACCCAGCAAAGGGGACTCTGAACCTCATTTGGGTTCTTCATCTAACTGAATCTCTATTCCTCCTAATCAATACTACGTATAATGAAAACATTTTTGTTTTCAGCCTCTGTTTTTTTGAAATACGTTTATCGCTTATGCTATTTGGGAACATCCTTCTAAATAAAATTGTATCTGCCCTATTTTAGAAGTCCCACAATAGCACCAGCTGTTGGCACCACTACCAGGACCTGAACGATTGGTGATGTGAACCGGTAAACAAAGCTCCCTCAAACACTTCTATAAGACAAGACACTGTCCAGGTCTGGAGGCCTCCTTCCTGGAGCTTCTGGTGCTCCTCACAGCGTGGTGCAGACACAGAGGTTTCCGATTAACAGGGAAGTGGGAGACTCCCCACTCCCCTGCAAGGGAAGATGGAACTGCCGCCTATCCGCACCCAAGCCCCTCTGCAGGGCCCAAGAGAGGGTTAGATACAAACGAAGGTTCATGTTACTGTATCACCTTTGCGTGACTTTTATCCTGGGGTCCATGATGTCATCTGTGTTTTTCCCGTCTATGGTCCACCACACTTCAGTCCGGGAGTCCTTCAGGAAAGTGAAGAAGACATCACAGGACAGAACAAGGTCATCTCCTGGGAAGAAAGGACCATGGTGAGGTATTGCAAAGCAGGAACAGCATCACCCTGAGTTTTGTGCTTTCCAGTGATCCTACTAGGCTGAGCTCTGCATCCCTTCAGGAGGGAATGAGGCCAGCATCCACCTTCAGACATCTGGTAACAGCTTAACACCCCAGACATGTTGATTTATGACAGACAAATGAATAGAAAAAAAATATCCTGCCTTCTTAAATGTGGTACAAGTTCCTTGACTGCTCCAAGTGACCCACTCAAGGGGAGATGCTCCATGCCAACCACTTCCCTGGAAATCCACGCAGCGTTAATCATCCCTACTGCACAGGGGACAGATGCCATAAAGCGAAGGATCCAACTCCACAAAAGCATTTTGGTATGGGAAAACTTGTTCAGGCATTTAACTTCCCCTCAATATCAGGCTTGGGAGTGTGAATATCTTTGTGATCAGCCCATAAGTGATTTTATCTTATGGAGTGACTATGTACGAAGTCTGACCTTCTGAGCCAAAAAAGCTGTACTTTAAAGTGAAGACTCTGCTGCTAATCATCATTAGCACCACATTCATTACAGCAGTGTAATGGGACATGATCCATTCAATATAGGGAATTGCTCCAAAGAGCTATCAATCTAAACAGATGGGGGTGGAGGAAGGGGTATGGTACCCCATTACACAATGCTGCGAAGCCAGCAAAAGGAGAGCTGTCGTTAATTAGGAAGTAATGCAGCAAACAGGGACAGGAGATGAGCAAGAAGTGGCCAGAAGGCTGAAGCCACAGAGGGGCTGAACGAGGGAAGGTTGGAGCAAACCACAGCCAGGGACAGGGCTGAGACAAGGTCCTACGGGAATTTCTCTAAGCAGCTGAGGGTCTCCATTTCATCTGCTTCTGCAGCTTCAGCCCTGCAACTCTGTGCCTGAACATCTCTCTGTTTGTGCTTGCAAAAATAAACTTTTAAAGCTGTGCTCTCCTATCCTGGCAGCGAGAACTAGAACCCCACGCTGTCTGCCAGGCAACTTGTGGCAGCTCGTGCGCTCTGGGAGGGAAAGCCCAGGGATGCAGTGGAAGGGGAGAGCTTCTGTGCCAGGCTGGGTCTCCCCGTCCTGGCAGGCAGGCTGCCAGGGCAGCCCCAGCACGCAGTGAGCGTTGCAATTTACCTGCTTCCAGTTCATAGACAACTTTCTCATTTGGAGAGATGAATTGTGGTGGCAAGGCCTTGTTCGGAGATCCTGCAGGAGAGAACAAAGAGCCCCCACGGGGACCCGGACTTCATGAGAACTTGGTGTCCTTGCAGCCTTGCCCACGACACCCTCATGCCCTGCTGCTGCACATGCCCCAATCTAACTTGTGATACAATCCTGCTGCAGAGTTCCACACAAAGAGAAATCTAATCCTCACCCCCAAAGTCAGGGCCAGACCCAGATTTTGAGGCTCCTCCAAAGTTTAGGTAAATCTAGATACAAGATTTTGGGCCTCTCACATCAGGAGAGCTCCGTACCCCTCATCTCCCACAAGGCACAACCTGTACCAGTTTATTTTTATTGTTGCTTCTAAAAAACAAAATACAAACATCATTTCTTGTTGCAAGTATTTAATTCAGATCTTAAAGCAGCAGTTGCCATGGGACTCAGCGTGTGCTCAACTGTTCACTCGGTTTTTAAGCTCTGTCTACAGTTCCCTGGCAGGTAGGCTGATCCCTTGTGCCTGGCACGGACCTGTCCAAGAACTGGGCTGGGTAACTGGAGCCCTGCCTGGCCAACTCATGGTCTCAACCTCAGCAGACAAGGCTTTGAGATTGCAAGCAGACCGAGGCAAGCTGGCTATAATTGGACAATCCCACAAACAGTGACAAGCAAAGGGCTCTGGAGACAAAAATGAGCAAGAGTGCCAGGGTTATGCATTCACGTGCCAGCAGAGGGTACCCCCGGCCATCTCATGGGCTGTACCTCACCAGCCTAAGCCTGGTCACCCTTCGTGGTGTTTGGGGCGTTTGACATGGCAGTAGGTAGGACCTCCAGTGCAACATGTCCTGGGCACTCAAACGAGACTGACCCCAGCAAGCAAAAATGTACCAGGTCAGTTGGGTAATGCAGCTTGAGTACAACCGCAAACGGATCCTGTGGCAGACTCTTCTAGCAGTTTTTACCACTTCTGCAGTTATCTACCTGCATTTTTACACATTTTAAAGTCATTCTTACCCACCACCTTCATCTTTATGGTTCTGGTGAGATTATAGGTTCTTCCATGGTCCTTGAATGTCACAATACACGTGTAATTCCCTTCATATCCACTGCGGACAATGCCGATGACAAGCCTGGGCCCTTGGGGATATCGCTCATAGAAGCCATTCACCAAGTTGCAGTTCTGGAGTCAGGGAGAAAAACACTTGAGTGCTGGGATTCAAAAGTAAATATATTGGTTTAAATGCAACTACAAAGATCTGTTTATAAATTATGAATACAATATTTGGGATTGTGATGTCGGTCTTAAATACCATGAACTTTGAGCATGTTGGAATACAAATTGGTATGTTCACCTTGAAAATGAGGTGATGGAGCAGATGACCCTAATAGTTTTATCCCACCTTAAAGACAGACAATTTTATAAAAGAGAGTGCTATGATCCAGAAGTGCATTTGCAATCAAGGTGAGCACCTCGGCAGAGTAAAGAGTCAAAGTAAAAAGAGACAGGAAGAAAATGATGATGTATTCACAAATGGATACTAAGACAAAAGGACATGTTCCCCATTGATGTCAGAGTGTCTCTTTCAGGACTAATCAAGCTACCCTGTCTGACTTCAGCTGAGGATGAGGCCCCAAAATTGGCAACTGGCAAATGAGAATCTGCAGTACAGAAACCTTAATAATTCTTCTCTTTCTGTCAGGCAAGGCAGGAAACCTCTGCCAAGTACCAAGCTAGAAATCCCTTTTCAGAAAGGGGTTATGCAGATGACATCTTGATTGTCATAAAACCCAAAGATGTGCACATTTTCTAAGAGATTATTTCTGAATGGTACATTTCCAAATCAGATACATCCTAATGGGGCAGTTTTAGACAGGGGTCATATAACATTTTTAATGATTTTTATTAGGCATGAGATGACTTGCTGCCTGAAAAATTACTTCCATGGGGCTTTTTGTTTCATTCTGCTAATTGATTGTTGAGCTGTGAATTTCAATGAATGGTACAACTAAAGCATTTCAACTACTGGAGTGAAACTGCTCCTCTTGGATTAAAAAAAAGTAAGTTTTTTCCTGCAGGGTTTTAGAGTTGTTTTGTTTTTCTCTTTTGGGGTGTTTTTTTAATTATTTTTTTAAATCAGCAGATATAGTTGTTGCTAACTTACTTTATTATTAAATTCATTCATACAGAACCTTCTATCTAGAAATACAAAAGTGCTTTATAAGCAGTTAGAGAATTCTGTCCCATAACCCTCTGGCTGCACATCCCGTGAGTATTCTTATTCTCTCTTGACTAAAGGCATCCACCTAGAGAAAAACACTGAAGTCAAAATTTATTAAAATTGAACAGTAATTCTTTAGGCAAGAGCCTGAGGATGACTAGAAACAGCCTAATTATCAGAGCAGGGGGAGGTAGGGATGTCTCCATCTTCAGAAAAGACGTTTGCTGGATTGTGTGAAACAGGGCACCCATGGTCCTTGCAGAGGCCTGATGTACAGCTTCATTTCCTGACCTCAAACGATTGTAGAAGGGATGCTCTTGTCATTAGCAGGTGGGGGGTTTGGTTTGTTGGGGGTTTTTTTTTGGTTTTTGTTGTTTGTGTGTGGGTTTGTTTTTTGGTTTGGTGGGGGTTTTGGGGGGTTTTTTTTGTTTGTTTGTTTTTTGGGGGTTTTTTTGTTTGTTTTTTTACAGAAGAGGGAACATGAATCACAGTTTCCTTTACAGGGACAGTGCCTTGCTTACACAGCAGGTCAGGCATACTGCCAGCAGCTGAACTGAGGTTCCTAAATCCCTGCTAAAGTATTCTCCACTTGTGCATGCTGGTCAAAAAAATTCCAGTGTTAGCTCTCAATTTTATTCAAGTTTCTCCAAGGGCAGATTTACCCTTGAACTAAATGGAAACAAAGCTCTTAAAATTAGTAAAGCTGCCTTAACAGCTTCATCAGTGGGGAGACACTGAAACGTAGCTCCGTGATTCTCATGCCAACCATTGCTTTTTCAGATACAACACTGCATTTCCCCCATTGCCCAGATAAGACAAAAGTCCTTCTTACAAAGTACCACTTGACAGTTGGTGTTACACTAGGAGGGTAAAACCCATCAATATCCGGACATATGATCTTCTCATTGGCATGTTCCATGTAGAACATCTGCTCAGCAGGTTTTATTGAATGGCTCACGCAAGAGTGTTGGTCTTTTGGAACAACTTCCAAGGGAAATGCAACTTTGCTGCAGTAAGTTGTATTTCTAAGGAGAGAGGATGATAGGGCTGATTAGTTGAAACTTGTTTACTCCTATAGCAGTGAAATGAAATAAAAATCACATCTGCAATAACAAGCATCATAGCGCTGATGAGGTATATACAGCCTTAGTATTTTCCTTCCCATTTATAAATGAGTCCACTATCAGAGATGGCCACACTAGCTCAGAAAAGCCTATAAAGATGACTAACAAGCAACGTCCACTCCCCTGCTGGTAAAGCAGATAATAGGGTCAAAGACACGATGAACAAGAAACAACATGAGGAAGATCAAAAAGAGCTCTTGTGCTCAGTGCATAGCAGATGCTATGTTCATTTTGTACCACACTTAAAGATACTTTTAATTTCCTAGAAGTCTGTATCTCATGAATCTTTGCCAAATTACCATGCAGTCAAAACATTACCCCTGCATCTGAAGCTATTTTTACTACAGACATACAGATCACTTCTTAATGGTGAGTGCCTGAGGATTTTGCCATGGGCTCAGCAATAATATTTTCATGGACACTTACAGCTAGAAAGGGGAGGCATGTTCATTAATGTTTGCAAGGCTCCAAGCATTATTACAATACAAATTGGCTCAGTACTGAGCAGTCTTATAATTGCAACATTCTTTCCCCATTAATGCTTATGTAAATGGTCTTCTCCCACAGAAAGATCTGGTGCTAACAACATAATTTTCCTGCTTCCATTAAAGTCCTTCGATTATGCTGAAGACATACAGAAGCTGGACCGCACAACCTACCTGAGCATGCACGTGTAATTCCCAGTATCATTGAGAAGAGCAGGCCAGAACCAAAGGGTGTCTTTCTCCTTACTGATGTGATTGTCCGGGAGACGAAAATTAATGGGCTCCTCCAGATCCCGGTCCTGCCCAATCCTGTACCAGATCAGGGTTAAGCCAGCAGAATGGGCCGTGCTGTAGTTGTACTTCAAGAAGGTCTCAAAAAGCGGGCATTTGATCTTAGCAGGTTCCCCATCGTAAATCTGGATCTGCTTCATGGTGTCCACACCCCAGTCATCACAGCGTTCTGCAACCAGGAAGAACAAGGTACCTTAGCTTGCAAGTCCGCAGTAGTTCTGCCCATGTTGCCCACAGCCCTTGGTCCCGTCCCCATTAAAACCAGAGGCAAAAAGGTAGCAGTGGAAGCAAAGCGAGAATACTGTGTTCATTTCTGGAGAACCTGCAAACCTCTACTTTCATTTATACACCTCCTTCCAAGCTATTCATCCCCCATGGGGGCAACACGATAGGATATTTCTGCAGGCTTTCTAGAGAGCTCCAAGAAAATTCAACCTTAAAAATAACCAGTGTGGGAAGATAAAATTTGGATGAAGAGAATGCTAGAGGTGTGTGTGCATCCTTGCACAGAGATAGGGAGGATGGAAATAGAGGTGTTGGAAGAAGAGGAAAAAAACAAAAAAAACAGAAAACCAAAACCGCAAACATCAACCCTCCCTTAGAGTGATTGGCCATTGCCCCTCTCAGAGGAAGCTGGACTGTGAGTTCTGGAAACAAGGACTGTCTTTCCTGTGATGGATTCATGTGACACCTGCGCACGTTATGATAACACAAGGAGTCCAAGTCACACGCAGCGACTGTTTATAGTGAAGTTTGGGAAGGGAGGTGAAGGGGCAGAAGAGACAGTATGGAGGAGGTGGCACCAGGGGATCCCCAGGCAGCCCCAGGTGCATTCCCCAAGCTCAGTTCAACAGGCTCAGCACGACTTACTGCAGGCTCAGGCTGACAAAGAAACTGGGCGGCATGAGAACAACAAAAAAAAAACCCCTGTTCAGTGCCTTTTTTTTTTTTTAATTTATTCTTGTCATTAGTGACTAGTTTCAGGACAAACAGCACAGTCAAAGCCCATTTCTCTTCCAAGAGCTCCTTTCCACTCCATTCCTCCTCCCCATCAGGATGCCCAGTCACGAAGGGACTCTGTGCAAGCAAAGCACGGTACCGGGGTGTCAGCAAACCTGAGAGCAACCTGCACTGCCGGCACCGGCTGAGACACATGGAGAAGCTGCTGTCACTGCATCTCCCATCTCCCCGCACTGACGAGGCAGAGCGTGGCACGGCACGCTTCCCAGCGCGCCTCTTGTAGCTGCTGGGAGGCATTAGCTAGAGCAGCCTGATGTCTGAGAGCCCAAAATGAGTTGAACAGGAGAGGGGCATGCTGCCTGCAGCAGTCCCCAGGAAAGGTGTCTCAGCACATCACAGGCACACCAGAGACAACACTGCAAAGCCTCTCCGGTTTGCAGATATTAGAAGAACTCGGACAGGGAGGAAAACCAGAATACAATATGCTCTTTGAGCCCAGTTCTTCTGAACTGACTTCACAGGCCCAAAGCAGGATTTCTGGCATTTTATCTTCCTTAAATAGACAGTGGGATGTGGCTTGGCCCAAAATTCATACTTATTTAAAGAAAACAAAAAGAGTTAAACCTTTGAGAAGATGGGCCCACAGTGCTTTAAGGCAGCAATGCCAACTCCTGTGGCTCAGCAATGGTTAGTCACAGTGAGGGAGAATCTGGGCCAGTAAGAACAGAAATGTTTTCTGGTGGGTTTACACATAAATGAAAATGCAACCTGCACTGCTCCTCCTGTAGTATGCCAAACACCCATATGATAGAGTGCTACTTATGGAAGAAGAGAGTGAATTGGGCTAGGAAGAGGCAGTGAAGCTACCCAGAGTACAAGTATCTGCCAGTGGGAACCCCAAAAGCAAATGGCTGGAGAGTGCCATAGCTCATCATCTAAGAAACATATAGATATTTCTTTCAAAAATGCATAGCATCATCCAGGACAGCTGCTACCACAGCCAGTGGCAAGGCTCATTTTGAAAGGCCAAACCACTATTGGAAGCCTTATACCATGGCAAAGTGCATAGTCACCAGTCACCACCATGGTCAAGGCCAACTGGAACCAGTATGTTGCTTTATGCTGGTGGGGACAAGCTACTGGATTAGGCATGGTCAAGTTTCTATAGAGTGGTAAATGAGACAAATGAGCCTGCCAGAGACTGCCTGCTAATTGTATGATAAAGCACTGATTACTATTCATGGAAGGGGGGCATTTGTTTTTATAAAGAATGACTTTCCCTCTGAAACGAGCAGGCCTGGGTCTGTAAATCAGAACACTCAAGTTCTCTTTCCAGCACCTGATTTTGCTGTCTCCTCTTGGGCTGCATAAAGGCAAATTGTCCTTATTACTTCAAATGGCAGGACTGGAGAGGAAGCAAACTATATAAAACATTACAGTACTGAAATTCTTGGAGTCAAGATCAATGAAATTTGCAATCACAAACAGCTCTTGCATTTTGCAAGAGCTCATAAATCAGCATTGTAAAACTACTTAGCTGTTCTACTTGAATGAGTTATTGAAAATGAATAAAACTATTTTTTTTCTTCCTAGATGACTCAAAAGCAACGTATGGCTCTTGTCGTCTTGGCTCAGGAAGAGGTGACTGTTATTGCTCTTTAAGAGCTGTACCTGAAGATTTTGTCTGAGCTGGGTAATTCGCCTGACTTCAGGAACACGGTCACAGCAAACAGCTAGTCCTAAGGCTCCCCACATGCATCCTGCCTTGGGGTGCTGCATGCTCTGAGCTGAACCCCAAACACAGCACATAACTGTGCTGCTAATGAGCAGCTACACCACAGATCGCAGGAGCAGCCATACGGCTTGAGATCACAGGCTGTGCTTGCCACCCCGCTGGCAAGGACGACTCCTGGCTGCCAGGGCAAAGCCAGCCCAGCACGGCTCCAAGGGCTCAGGGAGCAAAGCCACGACCCATCGTTCACAGCAGAGATGGCAGAAACACCATGGCTGGAGCGAGACCTCCTTCATGCCTAAAACACCAAGGACAGAAATTGTGGCACTTCACACAACCTCCCTCCTCCCCATGCCATGCCAACAGTAGTACTGCTCTTTTGATTTTTTGGGACATTTAATGCCTGAGATAGCTGAGCTCTGCCTGATAAGGCATGCGAAGGGACTACAGGGCATCCCTCACACACACCTTTGTAAACCTCTTCCTCCTCGGCTGTGACGCGGCTCTTCTCCCTGTGCCAACAGCATCCTCTGCCATGGTGGCACTTTTGCAGCAGACGACAGCGGCTGGGTCAAGCCCAGACAGCCGGCTGCACTCCCCGCACACGTGGGAATGCAGAGGGAATGCTCACATTATTACTATAATTTTCTTTGCATCCAACAGCTCCCTGTAACATTTTGTGCCCCTTCCACTATTTTATCCTTTATTGGGTATTCAGACCCTGTTGCTGCTAATGGCAGCACGCAGCTACTTGGATGTCAGTCTAACCTGGAGATAGCCTGAAAAAAATGGCATGACTTCACACTGAACCTTACTGGCATAAAGCAGTTCCCACTATGAAAAATAAAAACAACCCCAAACATACACACACAGAGATATATCCTGGCCCCAACAGCAATATCTGAGGGGGCATTACAGAAAGAAGGTGCAAGAACCCAGTTCTAATTGTGAGAAACAGCACTGACTTCTATGGTGCTGTGCCCATTTGCAGCAACTCATGTTTGTTTTCACCGGCTAAGCCTAGGAAGTGAGTTTCTTCTCTCTTGAAATGTTTCCTGCACAAAACAGCTGTTGGAGTTAAGAGCAGCTCCTGATTAAATCAAGTGGGATCAGCGTTCATGATCTGACTTCAGATGTTCACTAACAAATAGAAACCAGTGAAGAGATGGAGGAGCTATATGCAACTCCATGGTCCCTCCCATGCTGCAGCAAATGGAGTACTACACACATAAAACTGAGGGATACAGTACAATTCTCTAAAAATCCACCATCCCATAAATGCATCTTCCCAGAAATGCCTCTGCAAAACACTTTTGAAAGAAGCCATCCTTTTCTCATTACCAATAAGGGGTACTGCAGATGCCTCAACTGACCCCTCTTACTGCTAGGTGCTCTGTAATCACACAGCAAGGCAGTCTATGACCCATAATACCTACCTGTGACAGACAATGCAGGAAAAAGGCAAGAAACAGTCCTGTTTCTACAGCCCTGCTTGGGAAAAGGGATGAGGATTACACAGGGTGGAGGGAGACTGCATGGTAGAAGGAAACACCCACCGCCAGCAACGGAAGAGAAATTGCAGACAGAAAGGTCAGGGTAAGGATGCCCATCTTGAGTTCACGTGCCTTGTGATAAAGATAAGAGCAGGCTGGTGTGCAGCTGTTCCTCCCCGATGCACATGGGGTACTAGTTTGCATGAACTGGTAAAGGTAACTCCAAATATCTTCCTTGCTTGGACTGTGTGTTGCAACCCTTGTTCATGGGGATATCTACTACTGGTATTAGGGACAGCAACCCCTTCTATTAGATTAATTGCTCTGCCTCATTTCTAAATCTGGTGCTACAACAACCTTAAACATCAGGCATCCCACAACAGATGCCTCAGAAGCCAAATGAAGCTGAAGAACGTGGCTCCTCCAAATGCAAAGTAGAAAAATAAAAAAGAGGGGGGAGAAAACCCTAACAATGCTGCTCAGCTGCATAAAGGTGAAAAACAGACATTTCTGGAAACATTTCCTAACCTTTCACTTATTACACTGATTTACCCCCTCGGGAATAGAGCTCTGAATACACACACCTGAAATGCTCCTTTGCAATACACCTACAGCACCCATTACAAGCACCCATGCAGTCAAAACAGATGAAATCAGTGTGATTATTTGGATTTTCAAGAAGAGACAAACTGCTTAACCAGTGGATCAAAAAGGAAAACCAGAGTAAGGCCACATCAAGAAATACTGTCCCATTTTCGCCACAGTTTGGCATTTCTATGCAATCATTTGAAGTACCTCCAGTTAAAAAAAATTCTCAACCACCAAAACCCTACCAGCTCCACACCGCCTCCACCCCTTCCCTCCCTCACCCTCCCCTGGGGCTACAGACAAAGGCTTCCCCTAGTTAAAATTTCTGTATAGAGATAATAAAGACCCATCCTTATAAGAGGCCATCTATCATGCCGGCACAAATTACCCTGCC